AAAAAACACAATTATTCACATCCAAATTAAATTTCAGTCTTAAAAATTCATTGGTAGGATAAATCTCATTTAAAATTTTGAAGTTCACCTTAACTTTAGGAGGAAGAGGAAAAGATATATAGCTTTTCCTCATTTTTTACATTTCCATAATATCAACATCTTTGAGCATGTGTTCCCTTCTATTAGGGTTAGGATAATAAGCCTGTAAAATAAAATCTCTAATGACTCTATTTGTACAATTTTTATCACAAAAATCATAACCTTCTAAGGAGAGCTGTCTCAGTTCTGGGGAGACTTTGGAGTACAAAATGTCTTCTTTAACTATTAATCTTACAGCAATTGGAATGGCTCTAATTATTCTATTATAAGTATTAACAGAACACTGCAGTTGGAATTTTTCACAGAATTCTCTATACAGTAACAAATTATAACATTTCAATTAAATTTATGAATCTTACTCCAAAACCAAAACGCTGTAAGGTTTTCAAAATAAATGGTTGCTCTACGACATCAAAAGCTTTATAAAAATCTAAAAAAATCAGAAACCCACTCTCTTGAACCACATCACTGTAATCAAGTAAATCTAAAACTAACCTTATATTATTATGGATTGACCTTCCTCCCAGAAACCCTGATTGTGTCTCACTAATTATATTAGAAATACCCTTTTTAGCCTAGCAGCGATAGCCCCAGAAAAATTGTTATAATCAGTATGGATGGAGTAATAGTAATTACTCGTAATAGTAATTACAAAGTAATAGACCTCAGATTGTCTTTTATCTTTACCAGTTTTGGGAATCAATGTAATCAAACCTTGCTTCATACTTTCAATCAACACTTTTTTTCTAATACATTCTGTCAGGGAACTAAATAATAAATTTCTCAAATCCACCCCAAAATTTTGTTTAAAATTACTAGTAAGCCCATCTGTCCCTGGGGATTTGTTCAAAGGCATCTTTTCCACAACTGAATCCAATTCTTCAATCTTAAACTCTGAATCACATAAAACTTTAAAAGAGTCATCAATACGTGGAATATAGTCCTGGATTAAGGCTGGTTTACAAGTGTAAATGATTCAATACAATGAACCGACTCTTAAGAGTCATTCATTCGGGAATAGGACACTGGTCGATCAATGCATGTTTATAGGTCAGATTTAGATTTGTGCCAATAAATAATGAAATAAAATAATGCACTCACCCTGATAAACAGCAAATTTAAAGTCGTTTCATGAAACACGATGGAAACACAAACACGTGGTTGAAATGAAAACAAATATCAACATCTCGAGGAACATCTGTGGAATTATTAAACTACTACATTTCGTATTGAAACAAATTATTCTGAGAATAATACTTATTACATCTACTTAACCCTGTAAATCCGGATATATTAAATAA